CAGGAATGCCATGGCACTGGTAGGACCTTGTGAGAAGGCARGCAGGGCATCTTGCTTGGTATTTTGGTAAAACCCACATTTTCTTTAGCTTCATTTTTTTTTTTTTAATAAGAACTCAGAAAATTTGATTATCTGCCTCAAAATACWTCTTTTTCATCCCATCAGGAAGCCAACTGGACTTTCTAGTAGCAGGTGAACCTGAAAATTGAGATTTAAGTTGAAGGCCCTACAAACTGACTGTAATGTCGATAATAATAAGAGTGAAGTGTCACCCTCTTGATAGAGAGGAAGGACACCAGACAGATTGACATAGGCTGGAGTAAAGGTCAGTGTGAGTTACGTGGGAAGACCTGCAGTGAGTCAGAAATGGGCTAGCACTCTTTTGTTTTGGTGGAAATCAACCCATCGTGTCCTAGGACTTTTCCAAATGAGTCAAATCAGGGAAATGCAAAACATGTTGAACTTTCTGGTAGGTTCCTTGGTGGTCTAAGACAGGTACATGGTCTCCAGTAAAGTCTAGAGTTTGTTTGTGTGTTTAGGTAATTTTCCATCTTTGTGCATTTCTGGGTAGTTGAGAGTAGTAGAGTTGAATGGGAATCTATTTTGAAAACAGAGACATTAGATGTGTTTCCAAAATAGAGGCAGACGCGAAGAGAGGTCTTCTGGCCTCCTGGAACCAAGATGAAGAACAATTAAGACAGCAGCTAGCAAAATCTGGAGCTGAAGATGTTCTGAGTCTCTGATACTTGCCTTGGGGTCTCTTGTTACAGGAGGGGCATCAGGTGCTGCTGGAAAACACTGGGAAAGAGGCACATCACTGAGGCTCTCACAGCTGTAGAAAATCCCAGCATAATAGTCTATTCCAGTGAGAAACATGGGAAGGTTTTTCTTCTCTGTGTCATTTTAAAATGCATACATACATGTTGTTGTGTAGCAACCAGCATAGGCTTGGCCGTTCACTCCTGAAGCAGCTGTTGATGATATTTTATATATATATATATATATATATATATATTTTTTTTTTTGGTCTGCAATGGTGCAGTTATTCTCTTAAAAGTCGAGGAAGCTCCAGTTCCTCACCTTAGCCTAACCTAATTTCTATGCATTTTAAAATATATACCAAAGCTGTATACCAAATAAGTTTTTATGTTCTGAAGATTAGTCACTGATTCCTTCAAATGGAAAGCCCTTGCTGGAACCCAAATATTTACACGGTGCACCTTGAATGAGGAACAAGATGCCCCACTCCACCCCGCCAAATTACTTAATGATCTTTTTCACTTATTAAGATAGACCTCTAAGCTACCGAAACCTTCAGAAGACGCCCAGGGCCTGGACACTGGAAGCCAAACACATCACGACGTGCTTGCTTGCAAGTGCCATCGCTTTGGTGAGAAAGCCAAGCAGCAGCCCACTGACCCGCAATGTTGAAAGGCGAGAGAGTCTCAGGAAGATTTACTTAAAACAAAACCCTCCATTAAATCCCTAACACAAAAATAAAGAATAAAAAAAGCATAAAGGGCAGTGGTTAATTGAGTGCGAAGGTGAAGCTTGGGCTGGAAGATGAGAGCTGCGCGGGTGGCTCATGGCAGGAGCAGTTCTTCCCTCCTGCTCCTTCCATGACTTTGCCAAGGGGTGGCCAGTCAAAGGTTATCCTTATTTTTTTTTCTCTTYTTTTTTTCCCTTTCCCTCCCAAATTTGCCCAAGTGTTAACTTCTCAGGGACACTTGGATTCAAAATGCTCTATCCAACACAGAGCCCTTTTTTTCTGCCTTTTGGAGTTTTATGCACRTTTTGAGCTGGTTGCAGAGTATGTTGGGGTTCTTCACTTTTGGGGGGTTGGTTTTGCTTGGTGAGGGGTGTGCTTGGCATTTCCCTGGATGCTGCCAGCTTTCCCAGGCACCAGTACCTGATAATCACTTGTTAATAAAGGCATAAAATAAGGAAAGGAGCCTTTCCATTTTATTTATTTATTTTTTGTCCGGTGCTTAGCTTCCCAATTTTGATTGCCTTTATTAAATGGAAAGACAAATAAATTGAAAGCCCTCGTTGCAATGCCTTAGCGTAGAGCCCCAGCAGCTGCAGGTCAGCGAGTCACTTTGGCTTCCTCCCAGCAAGAGCAGCATCGTTTTCACTGCACACACAAGGTGCAGAGCCTGTTGTGCTTGCAGTGGGCTCATGTATTGGGTAGGTGTGTTGGATATGGCCCGTGGGCTGCAGCAGAGCATCTCGGCATGGAAGGAGTGCTGTTAAGGAGGATCCAAACCCTGCAGCCAGGGATATCTGATGTGAGGTGCCCATTGAAGGACCATGTTGGTGGGTTGGACTGTGGCACGAAGAAGTGTGTAGGCTGTAGCCCCACTTTGGGATACTTTGCCACTGGCAAATATCCTGGTATAAATAACATTTCCGTGGTGTTTTGCTAAGGGATCCCAAAGGCATCGCTCCCGACAGTTAATTTTCAGCCGTCCCTCTGGAGCATCTTTGGCAAAACCCATTCTCCGCATGCCTTCTGGCACGAGCACAGCCTTTGGCACAGCTTGTGCCAAGAGAAATGTGGGTGGCCATCTAGGCACTTAGACAACCTGTGCTCCAAGAAGTCATCCTGTGGAAGAAAGGGCATCTTGAGCTCAGTCTACAGTTTGGGCTGGACTCAGGCCTTCCGTCGTGTGGGTAATTGCAGCTGGAAGAGGAGCCTCTCGCTCAGGCCCCAGAACTGGGAGCATGTTATGTCTCCTAAGTAATATCCGCTCARCTATGGAGAGTATGTTTATGTTTCTCATGTTTAAAAAAGGGAGAGGGAAGAAGAAGAAGGGGGGAAAAAAAAGGGAATCTGAGGTTACTGTTTTGCTGGAAAGATGTCAAGACTCGATTGGCAATATCCCACTAAACCACAAGTTTGTAGGAGAAAAAACAAAACCATTGGATTTTCTAAGCACTGCCTATGTGCACTTTAAGGAAAAAAAACACCATCTAGGTCAGTTGCACTCTTATTATAGCTGTGGCAATCGTACATATAATTGAAACGCGGAAATACTACCCCATGCTGCTCAATGAGTGAAGGGAAAACACATCCTTATTACTCCTGCGTTCGCATAATATATAGGAACGCTATTGTCTTATTTATTTATTTATTTATTTWTTTTCTCTCAAGCCCGTTTTAGCTTTCAGATGTGTTTTATTGTCTGTGGGAACATGTGTTTTACAGACCTGTCATGTGAAAGCTATTAACAAGAGGAACTGGAGAAATAACAATAAGCCACGTAACCGTGGCGTGTCTGCTCCCCAAGTTCAACCCTTATGCTGCCGCCTCAAGTGGATGTGAAATCGGATCGCGCCGAGCAGCCCTAGCTTTTCTGCCGCAATTTTTCACTGGAAAGCTAAGGATTTTTTAAGTGGCCTATTAATATCATATTGCTGGCATGAGAGGCGCTTTTGAGGGCCAAACTGGCTTCGTATCAAAACGGTTAAATAGTGGAATGAAGATCGACTGGATTCACATGAGATGTCTTATTTTATTTGCAAAAATCTGAGCAGGGCAGGTTGCTCCGAAACCTCTGTTTGGTGTGTTGGGAACCGAGCTGCCCCTCTGAGCGCAGTGGGCTGCAATGCTCAATATTAGCCCTTGCCAGAGTCCTTACAGAGAGATCACCAGTGGATCAGGTACCAGTCGAGGGGAGAGTTCAACCCTACATAGGTTKTATCTGCTCCTGTCGAGGGGAGATGGACAACAGGACCTGTCCTTGTAGAGATTAACAGCTCTATCAATCCGGGATGAGAAAATCCTATTAAAAGTGCATCGAAAGCAGACCAAATGGCTTGCATGAAGTGAAATTCAAAATTTTGCGTGCCGAGGGGGCAACGCCGAGTTTTGATGACACTCAGTGTTGTAACTCTCTGGAGGATGTTGCCTTTGCTAATTGCCTGTAGCTAATCCTCATCCCTGCAAACTGCTGCAGCGAGTTTGCGGAGCTCAACAGTGCTGCCCGTGTGATTTTAAAGGAGAAAAGCTCTGATATCCCGGCACTCTGGATGTGTAAACAAAAACACCGATGCTTAAACCAGTCCGTGGTCTACAAATACTCCCTAGCACTTTGGGTAAGATCTGGGTGTGAAATCTGTTGTTTTAGCCAGATGACAGTGTGAGCCACTCTGTTTTGCTCACCTCAATGAGGTTCCTGGTATCTTCCAGCCAACGCAGTTTATGGTTTTTTTGTGTTTTGTTTGGTGCGCTCGTTTGTCCTTTCCTTGCGTGAGTGGGAGGAGAGTTTCCTCTTCGCCGTGGCTTGGGTTGAGTTTCAGAGAGTTTGGGGGCGTTGCTTTGGAGGAATGTGCTGCTCCTCTTGGCCGTGAGCCTGGTGGCAAAGACGGATGGGGAAACTGAGGCACATGCATGTGCCCAGCCCAAGGGAACATCATGCAGGAGAATAGCTCTGTGCTGCGCCTCTAAGTTGGAGGCGATACTGTATTTCTGCATTCAAAAAATAATACGGAGCACCCCTTGGACAGTGGATCCCAACCAGTGGCTCCTTGTTTTTGAGCATCTCTGCCCTGTGCCTGGTGCAAAGCTCCCCCTTCCCCTTCATTTCCCACCTGGAAATGAAGATTGCTGGTGCACAGGGTTTGCACACAGCATGCCTAGCTCGTGATCAAGAAGGGCTGTATTCGTTTTCGTGGCTTTTTGCAGAGGGGCTGCTTCTGGTGCCTGGTCCTGTAAGTCAATATTTGCAGTGCATGAGGCTTAACTCAAAGCAGGCAGCACAGACATGTGATAACCATAACAGAGGAGATCCTTTTTTCCCCTACAAGAGAGACTTGGAAAAACAAAACCCAAAACTATTCCCTTTGGAAAAATATCAATATGAAAAGAAAAGCATGAAGAATAGTGTGGCCTTGTTTGTGAAGGTCTTTCTAGTTTTATTTTTCCTTTTTTTCTGCTGGAGAATGTTTGTRTTTACCCATGTCTGACGAGTTTTGTTCTTATCTGCTCTTCTTTGTAGCTGGGCTGCCCTTCCTGATCATCGAAACAAGCACAATCCAACCCTATCAGCGGGGCTTCTACTGCGACGATGACAGTATCAAATACCCTCAGAAAAAGATCGAGACGATCAACGATGCGGTGCTGTGTGCTGCGGGCATCCTCATCACCATCCTCGCCGTAAGTACTGCCTTTGAGTGCGGCTCTCATGGCCATCCCCAGCGTCTTCTTGTCAGCTTCCTAAGCTGCTAGGACCAACGTGGGCTTTCTGCCCAACAGGGACACCTTGGTGACCTCAACCAAAGCTCTGCATTTGAAATGTTCACCTCCAAAGGATCTRTTCTCTGCTTTGAACAACAAAAATTGCTTGTATCAACCCCAGGGGAGGATGAAGGGTCTGTGTGGGTCCATCCTAAGACGTAGAGCTTTTCACCTTTAACTTGAGGTCAGCAGCCAGAGGTGGTTCCAGAGCTCTTTTATGTCTGGGAGATGAGCAGATGATGAGGAGCTCATTGCAGTGCTGGGTGGCTGATGATCCCAATCACTGTAGGAGACTTTCCTAGCGTGGAGGACACAGCAGAGCTAGGTACAGTCCAATGCCTGGCTAGTCAAAGGAGAGATGCCAGAAGGCCTGTATGGCATTTAGGTCCTCTTGAAGTCAAGGCTTTCACTGACTGTAATGCAAAATAAGTGTGACGGTGGAGTGGTCTGTTTTCTATCAGACTCTTGGCATGGGAAGTTGACATCTTGCTCATGTGTCCATCTTTGGAGGTGTACATCTGCTGAGCTTTTATCTGACTTCTGCCTGGGCACAAGCTGTAAACATCCGCTAATGAAAGCTTGCAGTGGAAGGAATGAAGCTACACACAGACCCAAAACTGTTGGGGCAAGTCCAGGAACTCCATGATGCAGGGACCTTTTCACCCTCCGGTAGTCATTCAGCATAGAAGCAGAAGGGCTTGAGCATTAGTAAGGACTTGGCATGGTTTGGCCCTGTTCAAATAACTGCTGGTATCTGTCTAAGCTTAAAAAACTCAAACTCAACTGCAAAGCTTAAAAAAGTCAACCAATGGGCGCTCTGATCTGTGGTGGGTGGAAGATCTGCAGCCTCAAGTTGGCTTTTCAAGAGGTGGCTTTGCACTAACATACATCCTGTACTCAGGCAGAGTAGAAGACCTGTCTTCTGGACATTGTTTAGATACTTCCATCAAAAGCAGAAATTCCCCAGGTCGCTTTGTGAAAAGTACCTACATTCCCCTTCCCTCGTGCTGCCCGCGCAGCCCAGGTGTTTCCCGAAAGACGCTGTCAAGACTGCCTTCCCCGTGCTCCTCCTAGACACGTAGTGGTCTGGTGCACTTCTTCTGCCCCTCTGTGCTCTCATCCTTTCTTGCAGAAGCAATGCCATGCCCAGAACCATAGGGTCCTGGGTGGCTCTGCTCGTGAGGAGCTCCGGTGCAAAAGCCATCCCCACCACCGCCTTGTTCCTATTCCCCTYCATCCTCCAAACAATTCCCAGCAAGCAACAACCCTCCCCAAATCTATAAACCGAAGAATTTTTGCCCTGCAGGTGAATTACCCCTGAGTGTGGAAAAGCCATAAAAGCAAAATGAAAAAGCCGCTCATTTTCGCATTACTGCCTGACCTGTCGGCATTGTGGCTCCATGCAGAGGGGCCTTCTGATCAGTAATGAGGCAGTGGCAAATTCAGGAGTTGGAACCGAAGCTGGAAACATAATCAACTGCCTCTTGGATCCATCAGCTCTCTRCCATGAAATAGCAGGTCAATTAGGAAGGAAAAGAAAATCCCCCAAAGAATTAGATGTTGCTGCACTGGTTTTACTGTGCCCACAACAAATGTAACTTAATAAGGTAAATTCACAAGCTCAGTTATTTGCTGTTGAGTGATGCAAATAGCTAACGAGGCACTGAAGGAGCAGATTTCTTTGCTATGGCAGGCTATGTGGAAAATTCAAGTCAGTCTGACCTCTTTTTCAAGATGTAACCCAGATACCAGAATTATTGTAGCATGAGAGGAATTCCTTCCAAATCCACAAAGCTCCGATTCTTCTCTTTTCCCTCAAAGCATTCGCCTTCCAAAGGCAAGGCAGCAGGACGAGGACTTCCAAGGAGACAGGATTTTGGTCCAAARTTTCACACCTGTGCTTTGAATGGCATCACTGGCAGTCCAGGCTGGAGCCAGATTTTAAGGTCATGTTTTAAATGGCTCGTGAACACCCAGAATTCTGATAAATAAACATCAGAGGCTAAGACTTTTTCTTCTGCTAGGGCATAAGATGATACACCTTTAAAACTTACATATTTACTGACTTAGGACAAGTTTCCCTCTTTGCCATCGTGCACGCAGATGACCCTTGAGAAGCTCTTTCTTACACCTGGGCTTGGTGCTCTCAGATCTCTCCTTGATGCTTTTGCACTGGGAGGTGGGTGCTGTGGCCATGTGGGGCATGGAGGATTGCTGATGGTGCCCAGCATGGCCATGCCATGGCAAAATACCCAAGCAAATTAATTTCCTAGATGATTGAAGTTGCATAAGTGGATTRATGCTGTACAGTTGAAGGTGATATGCTTCAATGTGATGAGGCACCCCGAACAGTACACCAGAGACCTAACTGATTAGAAAGATTCAAAAAATAATTGCAGGCTAATTGCAGGGTACTTGCATCACTGATGATGACTGAGGAGAATGAAGGAACAGGCATGAGGAGCACAAATCTGCAACAGGCAGGCATCAGCGGGGAGAAGCTCGGGGTTGGCTTCTCACTAATGACCATCTCTAAGTGTTTTTGACCGTTCCCTCTGGGAGTGACACACTCCATACAGTCGCTGTATACATCCCCAGCAAAGGACTCGCCAGAGACACAAGACAGAAGAAGAGCTAAATATCTCTGCGCCTTGTTTTTCCAGGATGCATTTTCAGCTTGTGCCCATCTGTGCTGGATTAGTTTTTCCCTGCCATGTTTTATCAGGGATAGWATTGCCAGACCCAAATTTACCCTATTTTAGCTTCTCGTTAAGGCCGAGCCATGGTTATAGCTGAGCAGGGAGGGCTCCTGGCTGCCCAGCATCGTGGGAGCGAGGGGATGGAGTCTCCAATTTACAATCTGCTACGTGTGTGCAATTACCAAGACCACCAACAGGGAGAGAAAAGCACTAATCCCTAGACTTTTGTCGGCCCCTTTTTAAAATGGCCCTGTCTTTCACCAGCCAAGAGCTTTGGGTTTAAGTGCATCTGTTTGGGAACTCTGAATAACACGGGCAGATTTCCAGTGCCAGCCTTGATTCAGTTTGTTTCTTTCTTCTCTGCAAAAGCAAATTAGGGGCTGGGCAGGTCTCCCGCGTGTGAATTTAGGTATCTGAGTTTTGTGGGGCTGCGATGGGTGGCGTGCACCCTTCTAGGTGTGTGTGGTGGTGGTCCACACGGATGCTTGCACCATATCGGATAGACCAGCAAGTCCCATGAGATGCAGGAGCAGCAGTTGGGTGGGACGACGGGCCTCTCACCCAAATATACCCCCTGACAGCCAGCTTGCATTTGAAGATAGTCCAGAATGGACATAAACCATCTTCTACACAATCTTTGGAGCTTGCGAGGATTAAAAACACTCCAGGTCAGGATAGCTGCATGTCCCCAGATGATGCTTGGCCCAGGCCAGACTCTCTTGAGCAGATCTTAGCTCTTGTAAGCCTTGGGTGGTAGGGCAGCCGCCAAGCACATTTCTATGCAAAACATGCTGCTGCAAGCTCCGGCTTGGGCTTTATTTTTTATTATTGCAGTTGTGTGTCCCTCCGATAAAGCCCACCGCGCTGTCAGCTCAGCTGCTTTGGGTCAACCTTTTGTGTTTTTTCCGAGCCGTGGTGCTGCTGAGTTCAAAYAACGACACGGTTTCATCTCCCCTTGCTCTTAATTGCCCTGCTTTTCCACTTTATGGCTTTCCAGAGGCTGTGCCAAGCCTTTAAAAAAGGTAGGCAGGGGAGCCGCSGCGGCTGCCTGCAGCTGGGGCTGCGCGGGAGGGATATTGCTGCCTGCTCTGGAGCGCCTGAGCATGAAGGCATTGCTCCTGACAGCTAAATTTCATATCGCAGCRGCCAAGGGGRCAGGAAAAAAAGGGAAAAAAAATTWAAAAAACCCCCATGCTTTTACTGCTCAGGTATAAAAACATTTCAAGTAATGAATGAAATCCTAAAGCTGTAAATCGGGAGCTCCACAAGTAGGTGCGGAAGGCGGCCGAGAACAATTTAAGCCTTTGCCTCTTTGGGAGAGGTGAGACATTTGGACCTCATTTCGCAGGCTGATTTTCATTAAACGGYCTTTTAAGGGGTGGGATTAGAAGGAGCCAAGCCCTTGGGTTCGCAGCAGAGATTTATGGCACCTTTGTCAGGACCCAACATCCCTGGGAAGGGCACGAGAAATACAGGATTTTCTGTGGAGCAGCAGTGGGACCCCTCAAAATTCCCCAAAATGCCAAATTTTTTCTGAAGTTGTTTGATTTTTTTTTCTTCCCCCCAACCAAAAAAACCCTGATTTGCCATGATRACTCCTTCCCAAACACCAGTTGTTTACATGTTTTAAGGGAAATTTGTATTCCCCTTGCACTGCTCCAAATCCAGGGCACCCCTCCTGTGGTTCTTCTGATGTTGGATCCTGTTGTGTCCCTTGCTGCTGGGAATGGACAGCCAGCAACTGGGTAGGAAAGGAGGCCTGTCCTGTCATCATACCTGCACGATGGATGCATGGAATAGTGCTAGGAAGAGCAGCCGTGTCCAAGGTCTCTCGCAGGGCCATCTTGCTGGGGTGATCTTCTTTGATCTCCTCCATTCCAAGAAGAATTGTCTTCTCCATTCTTCTACCTTCTGTAAGAGCCACAATTCTGGCTTTTGGCCAACAAGTCATTAACCAGCTTAAACAGCCATTAAACAGCTGAAACCACCCCAAACCAGGGATCTTGCATGGTGGCAGGTGCTTGTCCTGCTCTTGCACCTGGGCACAAGTGATTGCACGGGGGATCTTCCYAGCTTCCTAACCCTCTTCCCCCATCTCTCTGGTGTTCCCCCATCAGATTATAACGGGCGAGCTCTACCGGATCCACTACCTGAAGGAGAAGTCGCGCTCCTTCATCCAGAACCCCTACGTGGCGGCGCTCTACAAGCAAGTGGGCTGCTTCGTTTTTGGCTGCGCCATCAGCCAGTCCTTCACAGACATTGCCAAGGTGTCCGTGGGGCGCCTGCGGCCCCATTTCCTGGACGTTTGCAATCTCGATTTCTCGACAATCAACTGCGCCAAGGGGGTTTACATTCAGAACTACACTTGCCGGGGCAACGACAGCTCAGTGCAGGAGGCCAGGTGAGAGCCCTTTCAGTTTTGGTTTTGTTAAGTCCTGCCCTAAAAATCAAAGTGAAAAAGCAAAAAAAAAAAAAAAAAAAAGATTTGCTGCTGCAGCCAAAATGGTGCATCGCATTAAATATTTCTCAAGGTTTTTCTGCCAGCAGTAGATCATTTGAATGCTCCTTTCTCTGGGAAGGCTGTAACTTCATCCCGCAGCGCCGGGCAGTTTCCCCCTGGAGCTCTGCTCAGTAATCTTCTTTCATGCCCTGTTCCTCCCACGCCGTTGCTCCGCACGCCTTTGCTCCGTGCGGGAATTGCCCGGGAGAGCTGACCTAGCAGCCTGCTCCTCCCCGTCCCGTTAGCCGGCTGGGGCCCTTTGCTGCGCCCGCGCTTTATTCCCGTGCGATTTCCCGGGGAGTTATTGCCGGGCGGCGCTGGAAGCAGCGGCRCTGTCCCACGGCTGCGCCAGGAAGGCAGGAACAATGCCCGCATCCTGCCTGCCCGCATCCGGGATCCGCGGCCCCGGCCGCGATGCCCCCGCGCTCTCACRCGCCTCCTTTGTCTTGCAGGAAGTCCTTCTTCTCGGGCCACGCGTCCTTCTCCCTCTACACCATGCTCTACTTGGTGGTAAGTACCCTCCGTATTGCTTGAGATCCGTTTGATCCACCCTCCCTCTTTCCAGAAGGCTCCCCAACATTCAGCAGAATAGAGGGGAATAAAGCCAGTGCCAGGTCATGGTGGCTGAAGCTCAGGGGAATGCTCCAGAACCCGAGCAGATGCTCTGGAGCCCCAGGGGAGGCTCCAGAACTCAGGGAGATGCTCCAGGGGATGCTTTGAAGCTCCAGGGGATGGTCCAGAACTCGGGGGGATGCACCATGGGATGCTTTGGAGCTGCAGGCGATGCTCCGGAACTCAGGGAGATGTTCCAGGGAATGCTTCGGAGCTCCAGGAGATGCTCCAGAATTCAGGGGGATACTCCAGGGGATGCTTTGGAGCTCCAGGAGATGCTCCAGAATTCGGGGGATACTCCAGGGGATGCTTTGGAGCTCCAGGGGATGCTGTAGAACTCACAAGGATGCTCCACAGGATGCTTCGGAGCTCCCGGGAATACTCCGGAGTACTCTTTGGGCTTTTCAGCTTTGCTCCCTGTTGCTTGCGGCCGCTCTGCAGGCCATGTCCCGGGGCAGGTGAAGCAGCGCGGGGCCGGGCGCGCTCCGGGGCCGGGCGCGCTTCCCTCCGCCAGCGGGAAGGGCTCTGCCCTTCCTGCGCCGGGGCTGGGAATAGCGCCGCGTGCCAAGGTGCTTCCTGCCCCGGCGGCGGGAGGGCGGCCCGCCGCGGGAAAGGCTGTTCCGATAGGGAGCAGCCCGAAAAGGAAAAGGGAAAAATATCAAGTGCTTTTAAAGATTCGTGTCCTGCTCCCTGTGTCTCCTATAAGCGCGGACTGGAAGGCACAGGGAGAGCAGCGCCCTTGCGTAAATATTAAAGGTGAACTTCTATTTATCCGTGCGCGGTACGGCCTCCTCCCACGTGCCTTTACTTTGCCCTCTGGAAAGATAAATGACCGCTGCTCCCTCCTGGCTGTTAATCCCTGGATTTCTCTCGCCTTGGGCTGGAAGCAGCTTCTGCAATTTAATTCCCGAGTTTTCCAGGCTGCGTGGGAGGAGGGTGTTTTCTCTCCACCACCAAACAAGAGTCACCCCTTGCACCCAATCACCTCCTTGGGAGCAGCGAGGGCTGCTGGCGATGCTCGGGTTATCCTTTGGGGCAGGATATCCCCGGGGTGATTTTTAATTCTGTGATATTACCGCAATAATTATTACTGTGATAATACTGTGATAATACTGTGATATTACTTGATATTACTGCAGAAATTCAGCTCTTCTCTAAGTCCAGGTCTTCTTAGACTCCGTGTTAAACAATACAAATTTTTAGAAGCCAAGTCACTTCCTGTTTCCCTGGCGTTCCTTCGCCTTAATCCCACGGTGCATTTAGGATTCCGGCAGTTAGGAGCTGCCAGGTCCATTTGCGTGTAGGTCACTAAATCCACACCGATCCCGATTTCGGTTTGGCCACAGACTCCCGCTGGGAAASGTGCGTGCCAAGTGCCGGAGTGCCCTAGGCAAAGACTTGCACAGAAGGGCACTTACAGCCCAGTAAAAACTACTAGGTTTTAATTATAAATGCTAGGACTCCGGGGCTGCATTTTTTTCCCTGCCGTCTTCTTGTCACCAGCAACACCCAATTAACATCAGGCCTTTTGTATAAAAATTTAAAAAGGGAAATTACACTTGGGTAATCCTCTGTGTCTTAGTTTTTCCGTGCTCTGCAGCTCCTTGGCCGAGCGCACCCATAATATGTGTTTATAGCAGGCTGTAGAAGGAGGGGACAGGCAAGTGGGAGGTCCTCAGCCCACCATGATGGGCATCCTTTGCTCCAGCCAAGCCCACGAGATGCCAATAGTGATGTTTTATAGCACTCAGCACCCTGAAATCGCAGATAATGCRCAGAAGAGGCATCATTCTGGAAGGCTCATCCATGCCCCTACCAATGCTGGTGAATTTAGGAGAAAATGGGAGTCAAATGAGACAGCTTCTGGATTTAGGGTGGGTTGATGGGTGAGGATGAAGGCGTCAGATCAGCCTCGAGTTTGGTGTGTTCTGCTGGTGTGTGTAAGGAGTGACAGGCCTTGCTTGGTCTTGTCTCTTTTGGTGAAGGTCAGGTTTTGTGCCAGGGCTTCCTCCTGAAGCCAAAGGAGAAGGGTGAACTTCTGAGGAGCAGTGAGGTCCTAGTAATGATGGATYATGGGGTGTCTGAAGCAAAGGAAGCTCTTTGGTGTTCATGGTTCAAGACAAACTCCACTGGGAAGGCTGGGATTTCAGAGGGAATTGGGCTGGCCTGCTGGCCCCTGCTTAAACATCATTTGTTTGGTTTGAGATGAGCAAAGGCAAGGGATGAACTTGTGTGGTGAGGAGGTCCTTGGTCTTTCTCTTTGGCAGCACACTAAGAGCTAAATCCTACTGATAGTGCTCAGTCCACTCAGGGTGTTATCTAAGGGATGAATTGGGTTTGGAGGAATTTTGTCCTGTTTTTGTCCTGGGTGCCACTGCACTTGCAGATGAAGGTGGAGGAGGAAAGCTCAGGTCAAGTCCAGATCCTGCAGTCAGAGAAGTGCACTAGAGCCAACCGTTCCCGAGAAGCAGATCCTCGCTGTGAGCAGAGGATGTAATTGTGGGAGGTCAGCCATGTGGTGGGCAGGGCGAGAGGTTGGATGGGATCCGTGGGTGGCAGAAAACCCCTTGGAAGCCACCCTGATGCCTTGGAAGTCCCCTGGCAGGAGAAGGGCCACGTAGTGTCCCTGAAGCCGCAGGCGGGGTAATGTGCTCCTGCGTTTCGCTCCATCCGTGGTTCAGCAGGCAGCTGCAACTCGTCATTCCCAGCTTTCGGTGGCCGAGGGACGTTGCACAGTGGGGACAATGTAGGTTGTGGTCGCACTCATGCTTCTGTCACTGGGGAGGGCTCTGTCCATCCCAGGTCCCTGTGACAACCCATCAGGGCTGAGACTCCCTCCAGCTGCTTCCAGAGGCAACTTTGCAGCCAGGCCACCAGGAACTGCCCATTTCACACCGCTAGCCCTAATTCCCAGAAAATCCTGGCCTTCCCAGTCCCCCTCCCTCTGCCTTTTTTAGTGCTTTCATCTCCCCTTATTATTAGTTTTTCTCTCATACCCAGAGCAAACGCAAGGTTTGGAGCACCCTGAGTGAAGCCTCCCAAGTTACTGATGGGCTCGGTAGCRTGTGCGCGTTGGAGCAGCATCTCACCTACAGGATGCACTTCATGCTCCCAGTGAGCTTGTGAAACATGGGCCTGGTTTTCTCGTGTTCTTAGTGGATGGAGAGCTGAAGAGCAACTTTTGCAAGAGGCTGTGGCAGTAGAAAGGGCTTCAGTGGTGAATCCTTACACCTACAGTGCAGCATCTGCCTGATTGCATGTTCAGTTCAGTGTTGGTGATTTATTGCTGATTTTCACTCAGTGCATTTTTGTCTCACCCCTTCACTCGCCTGCTCAGTCCCGGCTTGGGGGACATAAGGATCTGAGGCCCAGCCTTTGATTTGTGGGCAGGAGGCTCCCACTTCCCTGTGCTCTCTTCCCGCTCCCACTCCCGGTTCCCACAGGAACCTGGGAAGCGGGTTGCGCCGCTGCGTGCGGCGGAAGCTGGGCCCAGATAACCGCCGCRGGGGACAACATCCCCTTGACGTCACTTTGTGACTTCAACCTCTTCTTCTTCACGCCGGGTCCTTGTCTTTTCCCCTTGCCATGGCCCCGGGCTTTGCTCCACACCCCGGCAAGTGATGGGAATGAACTGGGGAGCCCATAGCAGATTAAATAAGACTGTGGGATYGCTCCGACCCTGTGGAGAAGGAAGGAGGGTGTTTCCCCGGTGCTTCCTGGGAATGCTGCAGAATGGYATCGTTTTGGTCCGCGTTATCAGTGGTCCTGGCCGCACAGAGGGAGCTGCAGCTGACAGGGCTCAGGGCGGCTGCTCTAAATGCTCTAAATGCTCCATGTACGACATTTCTCGCTCACTTATTGCTCCTCGTTCATCCTTGCTATCTGGACCCCCCTCTCCCTGAACAGCGGGTGCCTTTGGGGCGCCGCTTGGAGCCTCCCGCTGACTCCTTTCCCCCTCTCCCCGCAGTTTTACCTGCAGGCCAGGTTCACGTGGAAGGGAGCCCGGCTGCTTCGCCCGCTCCTGCAGTTCACGCTGCTCATGATGGCGTTTTACACGGGGCTGTCGCGCGTCTCCGACCACAAGCACCACCCCACCGACGTGCTGGCCGGCTTCGCCCAGGGAGCCCTGGTGGCCTACTGCGTGGTAAGTCGGGGCTGGATTTTGTATTCCCTAATGCAGCAAAACGGGAAAACACTTAACGGAGGCCGCGCTCGCTGCCTGTCCCCTTTTCCTGCAATTTGCTTCCGACGGGGTGGCCTGGTTGTGCAGTCGCCTCACTCGAAGTGACGCTTTGGATGCTCGGCGACAGCACGCGGGGCCTCTGGGGTGATTTGGTGCCCTGCTCTGGAGATGCCGTGATCCGAAACGAAATTCAGCTCGCCAGCGGTCTATTTTGCAAGGMAAGAGAAGAGATTATGTGGGTACTCGCAGATAATTTTCTGAAGACAAGTCAAAAGCATCGTTGTTAGATGTTTGTCTATGGTTTTGTTACCCCTCRCATGTTAGTGGGTTTTGCCATCACCTAGTGCCCATGTCCCATCAAGGCACAGCAGGCAAGTGTRTTCCAAGTGAGGGGAACCTAAAGAAAGAAGTTTATGTTAGTGCATGGATAGATGTGTGTTTTTCTCCTCATCTGTGCTGTTTTAGTGCCTGCTGGTAGCAGCATTGCTATGGTTCCTCTGTCTTTTATCCAAGTAGCATATGGGCATCTCTTGGCACGCTGGAAGTCTTTGGAGAGCAGCGTGGGCTTTTTCCGTGATTCGGATGCCTGGATTTTTGCTATGTAGGTTTCTCTAGACACCACTTGCCCCTCAGTGCTCTTTTCAGGTATTGCTTAGTGGCTGGAAAGTCTCATACAACAGCAAAAGGTGGTAGCTTGTGTCGGGGGAGCAGCTTTAAACCCAACTTCATCCCCTTTCATCTGCTTGCAAAGAACAGGCAACATGGTCCTGTTGTCCCGAGTCCAGAGGGCTCAGACCTGGCAGTTGGGAATGACACTGCACCGTGACACAGAAACCTTTGGGATTTGAGTCTCGTGATGTCCAAGGGCCGTTAAACTGCAGTAGTTACCAGGCCTTAGCTGTGGGTGGAAACCCACCACGGGGTTCTTCTCCAAGGCTTGCCAGAGCTCAGCTCCAAGTTGTGTTGCAGGGGGCATGTTTGTCCTTCCCTGCCTGAAATAACAAGCACAGGACATCAGTGTCAAGCACTTCCAGCTGATGAAACATTTCTGCATGGTTCCAAGGTGAAATATGATGAGAATTGGTTAAATGGAAGTAGATTTTTTTTTTATGTGCATGGTAGGCAGCCTGCTATGTGTCGTGTAGTTTATGTCTTTTCTCATGGGGAAGAAAATAGGGATATGCTGAAGAAAGAGGCATATTCCTTTTGGTGTTGCTTTTATTAACGTGGATTAGGGTTTTTAACCTTCGGGGATTTCTTCAACACAGCAAARAGGAATTGTTAAGTGGCAATGTAAGATATTGCCTTTCTTGTGCAGCACATTCATGGTCTTTGGCCGTCAAGTTTTCTTTATGGGTGGAGAGCACCTTCTACAGGAAATGGAGCTAATCCAAGTGCAAAACTTTGCACATTTATTAGTCCTTTTTTTGTGTTAAACCGTTCAAGCATTAAGAGGATTTAACACAGTTTTAACCCTGGAAGATCATGTTTCACGATTCCTCTAAGTGTTTATATAACCTCAATCCACGTTAAAGTGAAATACAGTTTAAAGGGAGATTAAAACTCTTAACCGGTCTCTGAATTAAGGCCTCAAAAGCAGTGAGCAGCACAGTAGAGGTTGAAATACGTGGGGTGACACTCTGCAGTGATTTACTACCCCAAACTTGGGCCGGGCTTAGTGCTGTCCCCATGTGCTTTTTGCACTGAGCTATCTCCTCATGCCCATCGATTTATYCCAGCTATTTCGGGACAGAAATGGGACATCTTTTTGATTAAATCCACCCTTCTGAGGTGGGCAAGGTGGGAGAGGACATGGACTTTGCTCAAAACGAGCTGTACAGGGAGGATTATAGCAMCTCAGTTAGCAACGGAGAAGAGAAACCCTGCTGGAGTGGTGATCAAGATACCTCACCATGTAGGTGCCATCAAGAGATGTTTTTTGCACAATGGCTCTTGGTTTTCCACTGAGCAAGACGAGCTGCAGCACGACGTGTGTCTGCTTCCCAAATCCCCCGTTACAGCCGTGGACATGGATTGCCATTTATAGCACGTTGGCCAGGCGTCTTGGCTCTTATCTGCCCGGCTCTGATAGCAACTCATGAAAGTTGTTCCCAAGGACGACTCGGGCTGCTTGCGAAAGGCTCTGGATAGTGAGAAAACACGGAGCAGCAAGGACAGGGAAAAGCTTTTCCCCTCCTTTCTTGTTACCCATCCCAAGCCAGAGCAGCTGTTTGCAAGGCGGTGTTGCATTTGAATGCAGCCCGTGTTGCCATTTCCTAGCATTTTTTGGCTACTTTGGTGGAGATTTGTGCATCGCACGCTGTGGTAGAGGACATGGTTTTGTAACAGAGTTTGTGTTGAGTTTTGTGAGGTCTGAACCCTCTCTGTATCATGCACCGAGGTTGTAGCTAGGGGGATTTCACARCATTTGGGTGTTTTCTGCAAGGGTTGGAAGCACCAAAAGGAATGCATGTGTACTCTGTAAGSCAAATAAACCATCTCCCAGCCTAAGCTGCATTTTCCAATTGCTCCCTCAGGTGTTTTACGTCTCAGATCTCTTCAAACCCAAGACAAAGACTTGCCTGCCTCCGCCCCCCATCCGGAAGGAGATCCTTTCTCCTGTGGACATCATCGAACGGAATAACCATCACAACATGGTGTAGACCTCTGGGGGAAAAAAAAAAAAAAGAAATCCAACTTGTTTTTTATTTTATTTTTGAATTTTTAATTTTTTTTTGCAAAAATGACTGCTGACAGCAACTACCTGCTGCTCTCAAATCTCATCAGACAGTAGAATGTAGGGAGAGACTTTTTTTGCCCGACCGGTAAAGTCTTACTCTGTGGTCTTCTCAACTTGTGACGTTTGGATGAAAAAGGGGGGGTGGGTTGTTCAACTAAGTCAAAAGCACCAGCGAGAAGCAAAAAATGAAGCAAAACAGAAGAGCAAACACAAAAAAAGCACCGAACAAGCTGAGAGAGGTGCCGGAGTTCTGGATGTGCAATTGGTTTGAGTGTTCATGTTGTAGTGAACGCCAAATTGTTCATAGCGTAATGAACACTAAAACGGTTTTGTAAAGCTGGCCATCTTAGGTTTTTTTTTTTTTTTTTTTTAWWTRCTATGAAGATTTCCGATGCCTCTCTGCTGAAAAGAAAAAAGCAAAAAAAAAAAAAACCAACTCGCAGCTGAATTACAGAGCACTATATACAAGAAGCAGCACTGAGTCAAGATTTGGGATTGGTTTATGAGTTGCTTTTTTTTTTTTTTTTTTTTTTATGATTTTTCTTCCTCCGTTCCATACTGTGACTTAGTGTAGAAGAAGCTTGCCCGGTCCAAGGTCTCCGGAAGGTCCCTGTTCACACTACAACACAAGCAGCAGTGGGATGCTCGGAGAGATGGACGAGGCGCAGCATCTCCGACCGGCCGGGAGGACCGGAGCATCCCGGTGCTTCCCGCCTCCGTCCCCTTTTCCAGCTCTGCAGCGGCTTCCTGGCCCCACGGACACGGTCACACCATGAACTCGGGGTTGAATCCCGGGAAAAAAACGGCGGCTCCGGCGCTTTTGGGATGGCTGCTGGGCGGCACATCCCGGCCGGGGGCAGCTCCGGGAAGAGGCACCGGCTCCAGCGCGTGACACCGCTGGGAAACCTGACATGCGGATAGCAAAGGGTGAATTGTTTTTAATTCTATTTTTATTCTTTTGCCCAGCAACCACGGGAGAGGTGGGTTGCTGCTGGAAAAGCCACGGCGGGGGCTTGCAGAGCTCTGCGGAAAAGGGATCGCGCCAACCATGCAGAACGGCCGTTTGCACATCCTCGTTACAGAATCCGTCCTATCATTTCAACTATAGCAAGCTATGACTTTTTTTTATATATAAATATTATATAAATAATGTATAAAACCTTAAAAATTAACTATGTAAAATATTATTTCTGAAACAATTTTAGATATATCCACTATGACTATAAACTGTGTCCTGACCTGTGTTATTTACATTTTGCTGCTTAAAAAAGCATTGAATTAATTTTTTTATAGTCGACTAAAATATTGTAGGTCTGTGGTAGTAATATTTTAATGAAAAATAACTACAATTAGAGACATTTGTATAAAAAAAATCATATTAAATTGTCTGTATTTTTGTAATGTTCCATTTTGTAAAGAGAAGAATATTCAAAGACTTTTGTAGAATACAAAGTTAAAGTTTGTATCTGCGAAATTATTGCTGTATAAATGTGCTTTTTAAATAAAAGCTCATAACACAACTAAGTACCTGTGACTGGTGTGTGTTGCGGGTGGACCTCCATGGGCCTAGCGTGGTTCCTCCCCTGCCTTGGGACACCACGTGTGGTCCCTGCTCAGCAGTACACGTCGGGGCAGCCGTTCAGGCTGGATGAAGATGAAGGCAGCTTTATTTGCACCCATCCTGGATAAAAAAGCACCGCTGGTCGTGGGGGACCCGATGCCACTGTAGATGTTCGGATGAGAAGGCAGCTGCTGAGGTCTTTGTAGCCCGTGATGCTCAGATGTGATCACATCCCTTTCTCCCTCTCCGTATTTTAACTTAAATTGTATAAAAAATGCTAAAGCTACGGATATATTTTAGGGTATACGGATATATTTTAGGGTACACAGGGCATATATAAGGGTAGATTTTAGGGTACACAGCAAGCAGGGCTCTGTGACAGCGCCCGGCAGCAGGTTTCCCCCACTGCAGACTCCCTGTGTAGCTAAAATTCATGCTTGATTTTTTTAAATTATTAGAATTATTATTTTAATTCCGTGCTGCAGCAGGTGAGAATGAACGTCGTGGCGATGACACACGAGGTGAGGACGGCGTTTGCGCCATTCCTCGGGTGCACCGYGCTGGCAAGATAACGTGGCCCCGGAAGAGCTTGTGAGAAGGCGCAACGGGAAGTGGATCCCACATCAAACTTGGAATAAATAGCAGGTGGAAGCGAAGCAGGCAGCACTCACTGGAATTATCCCCATGGTTATTAAGACTGTGTTAGGCGTGGAAAGAAATGCTCCTTGGTAAAGCTGCGTCTGCCCTAAATGCGAGGGAGAAGGTGCTTGGGGTCTAGGTCCCATATCCAGTGACGTGACACCTTGCCTGACCGGTGGAGACCTTTCCAGAGGAATGGCACATGCAGGAAGCATTGGACGGATGGATGGATGGATGATGGATGGATGGATGGATGGATGGATGGATGGATGGATGGATGGATGATGGATGGATGATGGATTGATGAACCCCAATGAGGGACTGAGCGATGGTGAAAGGCCCTGCTGTGAGTGAAGGACTGTGAGTCGCGGTGACGCGGCTGGGGACATGGGCACACGAGGTGCCAGCTGCGGCAGAGCAGGGTGGAGGAGAGAGCGGAGCAATCACGGGTGTCTCCGTAAGGGCAGGAAGGAAATGAAAGAGAAATCGGAGGAACGGATGAACACCCCCAAAGCCCACACACTTGCCTTCTGCAGCTGCATGGCTCGGGCAGCTTTCCTGCCTCCCTGCAGGAACCCGCAGCTATGCCAGCGAGGAGGGACCTGCACTMCCAAATAAATAAATAACCGGCTCTGTTTACGGGAAGAGGCAGCTCGGAGGTGCCTGCGGYCGGGTGCCGGCTGCGGCGGTCGCGCCGCGAGCCCGGGCGCCTTTGATGCTCGAGTGGCTGCCGCGCCGGTCGGACCTGCCCGCCCGGCGCCCCGAGCGTGTCGGCGCACGCTGCCGCCGCGCGTGCCCCGCGGCCAGGGCAGCAGCTCTGCGCTCGTGGGGCAGGGAGCGCTGGGCCGGGGCGGCAGCTCTGCGCTCGCGGGGCAGGGAGCGCTGGGCCGGGGCGGCAGCTCTGCGCTCGCGGGGCAGGGAGCGCTGGGCCGGGGCAGCAGCCCTGCGCTCGTGGGGCAGGGAGCGCTGGGCCGGGGCAGCAGCCCTGCGCTCGCGGGGCAGGGAGCGCTGGGCCGGGGCAGCAGCTCTGCGCTCGCGGGGCAGGGAGCGCTGGGCCAGGGCAGCAGCCCTGCGCTCGTGGGGCAGGGAGCGCTGGGCCGGGGCAGCAGC